ATGCTAAAAAAAAACAAAAGGCAGCTTAACGTTCTAAAAATCTAGAAGCAAGGAAAATCAGCATCATTTTTTATTCATCCCTTCAATATACCTCAAGTGTTGAGTTCTTTTTCCCTTGGACTTAATTTTGGCCGGCTGTTGTTTCATCCTCGTGTTTCTTCTCGCCACTGATACAGCTGGGAACTTTTCCATTCTCTTCTATTTTAAGCTCTCCCATTCACATAATTCCATACAGCAGTTCAAGCTGATCGTTCGATGGCAAAGATGATTTTTTCTTTGTTCCTTGAACATTGCATGGATACCATTTAACAGTCCGCTCTGTCAGATTGTTTTCTTATTACTGACACATAAGCGGCCCATCTTTTCTTCCTAGCCTGTTGCCTTAATAATATCGTTCACGCCAGACTGGAACCGCAGCACTTCATTGGAAGTGTGCTATTAATGTTGTTATCCTATGTTTTCCAGGATATTGATGATATTTTTTGTTTGGTCGCTTGTTTTATCAGCTGTGCAGTACGCACGTCGTCAACGCCTAATGTCTGTTTTGGCTGAATATTTCATTACGAATTGCTCTCGCACAACAGTATTGATATGCCGTAGAATTCCATTTTTGTCATGTTTCTCAAGATATACTAGTAGGTAAGGAAGTTGATACTTTTTTTCAGTAATATATATAGTTCCCGACAAAAGAGAGGGCACTTTTTTGCATGCTTTTACATAAATTTTTTTTTACTTAGTTTCACGTACGGAGGGACTTTGAACATTTTAAACTGAGCGGCATGAATTTTATTTTTTCATTAATGTGGCGTTTTTGATCTTAATTTTAGGTAGCCTGACAAAAAGTACTTTAATTTGGCATCTTTTTGTCTTTTTCTCGTTTCTTTTTCTCCATCTAGAAGTAATTATTGCCCATTCGATGTATATGCTTCACCTCTTCGAAGATTGCCCAAATGTTCGTGTGCTCCAAAATTTTTCCCAAAAAATTCGCAACTTACTGCGCAACTGAACTTTATTCTAGGCCAAAAAGAAGAGTGGTCATCTAGTGATTGGTCCCTAGATCGGCTAATCCCAACATCTAATTAATAGATGAATATGAAAGAGTGGTGTGGATTTTTTGGGAAAGATTATGAAGTATGCGATCACTTGGGCAGTCTCCGAAGAGGTGGAGTATGTGCGTGGAGCGCTCGATAAATACACCTCTAGGGACTCGGAATCGAAGGGTTTGGGGCAGCTGCACCCTGCTATATTTGACATCCCAAAAGTATTACTGGTACGAGAGAAAGCTGCACATCGGCCGTAGAATTTTAGGATATGCAGCTTTTAGTGGCATCAATACAGTTCATAAATGGCCATCCTTTTGCGCTTGGGGATTGAATGATCGGCAGGGGTTTCCAGAAAAGATGCTACACTCACTTGTGCGTATTAGGGTCAGAAATCGAATCGGAAACGCTTGGATTTTTTCAGCACTGAACGGTTCGCCGGTGCCATCGACAACGCACTGAGGAAGACAAACAGTGAACCATGCCTTCCGGCATCGCATGTTTTAACACCGATTTACCGCACGGAAGAAGTGGAATTTGTTGTTGTGCCGAACGTAGTGAGCATAAATTTCTTTTTACATTATATGTTTTTTCAGTGACGTGCCTCGAGATAGTGAGAGCGTGAATCGATCTTTTTACTCTTTCTTAAAGGAGAGGAGAGATTAAAGGGGATCATTCATGTGGAAGGAAAAAATGCTAAAAATTAAGCCAAGAGCGAAGGAGACAAAATTCAGTCGCGGAAGTACACAAATTAGAAACCGAGTTAAAAAAATTTAGCCAAACGGCGCAATGAAAGGATCCTGAATTTTGCTGAAGCACGTTAAAAATTACTGCCTAAGCGCCAAGAGGTGAATTGGCTTATGGAATAAATACAGAAGTATTTTACTAGAGAATTTGTGCACAACATGAAAGGTTGTTTTGCTTTGGAGAAGAAAACTGGGATGCCGCTTTTCTTTAAGTAGCTGTACTATTTGCACCGATAAAAATTAGTTGCAAAGTCTTCGGTTTGCATTTTTTTCTGGAATATTTGGATAAGCTATCATAGTCTGATTCTTCATCTATGTAGTTTGCACCTTTCCTAGCTAATCTGCCTAATACTGCTAGCTTGATGATGGATCTGATTTTAGTTTCATTTCCTGGAAGTGTCACCAGCTCATGATTCTCCCGTTAAAATTTGGCAGGTCTTCATCTGCTCCAATATGTTTTTGGTGTGTTTTGGTACGAACACTTCGCCTTGAACGTTGCCATTCCTAGATTACGAAAAAAAATATATGTCGTTTTCAGGAAAATGCCAAAAATTCTCTGCTAATAAAAGTTTTTCGATATCTTTTCCGAATTCGTTATAGATTTAGGCTTCGCATTTGTCTCACTAAATTTTTTGTTGTACACACGGTTTTTTATTTTTCCAGGCACAACTGGATATTATCGATTGGAATGTGTTTAGTCCACCAACACTTGGTTCCATTCCGCGCGTATATTTTGTTGCATTTTTGGGTACCATAACAGAAAGCTGTGAACAAATAACCGATGAAATAATATGTACGGACACTGCTACCGCGACTTCCAGTGAATTCTCCACAACCAGTGATTATGATTTCTCGAGTGGATTTATGCCCGTTTTGGTTAGTTTGTTTTTTTTTTTTACTTGAATTTTTTGTTTTTTCTCAGTTTTTGCGTGTTTTTTTCTCAACAAAGTGATCATCCTTTAACATGCTTTCTTAAGTCACGGTTACCTTGATCTTGCATGTCTTAGAGACGTAGCAGTACATCGAAATAAGCCATCCAGAATCCCAGGATTTTGAGCTTCTTGCCGTATTCTTTTAATAAGCACAAGTAAGCGATTCGGATTATATAATAAGGCATCGTTTGTTACTGATATCGAGATAGCCGGCGTCAAGCTTTAATTTAGAAGGTTGGGTAGGAGAAATGTAGTGAATTAAAGCATTAGCGACTGTGCTCCGGTATTTAGAGCTGTGTATTTTAAACCTGGAAATAGAGAGCTGAAGCCACTTGAAATACCATGCTGCATCATTTAGATAATGCTATAATACCATGTGATATTCTTCAGACAGCGATCTGTCCACTCTTTGAGGCGCAAGGGAACAGTTTTTTTACGTACTTGTAAGCAACCATTCACTGACAAAGCTCCCTCTGCCGGGAACTGCTTAGATGTAACTGACGTCGAGATGGTACAATACTTTTTAAACGCTTTTTTCTTGTTTTTTTTAGTTTTTTGCTTGGATTACAGTTCATTTGAACTGAACCTGCATAAGGAGACTACTGTTGATAAAACGCTTTCACCCGAATCGCTATCGCTAATTGTAATTTCTAACGTTTTTTAAGCAAAACTTGTGTTCATCTAGCTAGTTGTGCATCTTTCTGGCTTACTTTTGAGACATTTTAACGAACAGTTTTTTTTTTTTTTTAAATCGAGATAGTCTACTGGAAGAAAATTGGGCTGGTTATCTGGCAAAAGTGGGAGAGGACATACAGAACAAGAAAGGCCGCAGCCGTGAAAAAACCCGTCCTATCGATTATATGAAATTAAGCGGAAGCCCAAAACAACCGCGTCAGCGGCGAAACGAAATATGACGATGCCCAACTGATCAAACTATACAAAACATCCTTTTTTTGAAAATATGAAGAAAATTTCAGTTTTTATGCGTTTTGTGCTGTGTAACAGCAGTACAAAACGCATATTGTTACGGGGTTGT